CATGCTGTTGAATTTAGATTTCTGTTACTCATTTTCTACAGCCATAATCTCAGGATGAGGGAAAACATTTGCACATTAATTGCCCTATACATTTTTATTCAGTTGTAGCTAAGAAGAAGAAGATTAAAAAAAAAACCAAATTAAAATCTGGGTGACACTTTATTTGCTTTTTGTGCCAGAGTTGACTCCTGGCAACTGGCTGGTCAGGTCCTTGCAGTTTTCTTGGCAAAATGTCAGAAATTGTATTGTATTTGTATTGTATTTAATAGATTTATAGGCCGCCCAATCCCGGAGGAAATGGGATGCCAATGGCTATTTTCTAGAATTGAGAAAGAGCAAACTGGCCCAAAGCCTCTCAGTTGGCTTTGTGGTAAAAGCAGAACTAGAACTGAGAGTGTCTTGCCTGGTGCTTTAACCACTATTCAAACTATCTTTAACCACTATGCAAACTATTCAAGCAGCCAAAACTAAAATAATTTAAAACAACAATTGAGATCAATATGCCAATGCCTACTTAACAGGTAAATTTTAGGAGCCTTTAAAAATTATTGTTGAAGAGATTACAGGTAGTCCTTGATTTACAAGCATAACAGAACCCAGAATTTCCATCATGAGTCATGTCAGTCATAAGTTAAAGTATCGACATGGGAGGATCCAATTCTATGATTCCCCCCCCCCCGCCCCGCAGCATTAGGCAAATGCTGCAGTCATTAAGCGATTGTGGTGGCTGTTAAGCAAATCAATGAATTCATATGGCTGTATTTTTTCTAGAAGGTAGCCAACAAGGCTGGAAACCAGCAAAAGAACATCATAAATTGCAGTCACATGACTATAGAATGCTGCTATCAATCAAAAAGATGAACCAATTGCCAAGTGCCTGAAATGTACTCTGGGCTGCACCATAAGTAACATTTAGAGGATCCATTTAAATTAAGCAACCAGTTGTCCCAAAGCTGCTTTTTCAAGAAGCAACTGGACTTTCTTGATTTTTCTTTGAAGACATTTTTCTTCTCATCCAAGAAGCTTATTCAGCTCTGACAGGATAATGGGGAATGGAAAGATTTCTATTCTTTGCAGACAGCTGGTCATTTGCATCCTTGGATGTGCCATGTACAGGCCACACTTACCCCGGCTCTGCAAAGGCAGAAACTGTTGTGATGCATCAGGATACGTCACATGATGAGATTGCGTTTGACACCCATGTTTTAGAGGCTCATTGAAGCACTTGGAGGCTTATCTGAGTCCCCAGGGTCATGTGAGTAGTGCACCTGGTTCCTGTAGTCTGCATTTTTCTCCCCCACACCGGAAATCCATTTCTACTTCCACACCATTTAAAGAGTGTTCATCCCAAATTGTGATGAACACCCTTTGAATGGTACGGGAGTAGGAATATATTTTCAAGGTGTTTGTTTTTTTTTTGCATACTACAGGAACCAGGAGTACTACTCAGGTGACTCTGAGGACATAGATAAACTTCCAAATGCTTCAGTGAGCCTCTAAAAGGATGCAAATGACCAGATGTCGCAAGGAATATAAATCCTTCCATTCCCCACTATCCTGTCAGAGCTGAAGAAGTTTCTTGGATAAGAAGTGAAACGTCTTCAAAGGAAAAAACAAGAAACTCCAGTTGCCTCCTGAAAAAAGCACCTTTGGGACAACCATGACCTGGATGACTCTCTGCAGACTTGAAGCAATAAGTTGTTAAGCAAGGACCATCTGTAGGTCTGTCAACTTAACAGGAAATGCATTGTAAAGAAAGGAATAGGTACCAGAAAGTTTGACTCCTACTTGCTGATAGATGAGTTCAGAACAGCTATAGCTGAATTTTCGCAGTTGAATCCAATGAATAGTGGCAGCAAATGACTTTTCTTCACTACACCCAAATTATTTATGGCTTTCCAAGTCAGAACCAGTTTCTTTCATTTCTCCCACAAATGCTTTGTTTTTAGCCGAGGTGCGACATAGCTACTTTTTTCTACAGATTTCATTCCACAGTTGACCAAACAAGGTAGCCTGTAGGCAGATGAGCAGCCTCTTTTCATTTGGTTCAGGAGCCTCCTGGTTATCTGTAGGGCAATGACGTGTGTGGATCTAAACACACCGTGTGGGATAATAAACACACCGTGGCATTGCTAGCTCTTCTTTTTTCCCTTCTCTCCCTCCTAAGCTCAAAGCGAAGGCAGTAATCATACAGTTGAAAATGCTTAGCAACCACAGGTAAAAAAAATAAAAGAAGTTAATAAGTCATAATTTATATGTAAGATGATTTCAGGGGGTTAGTAGCACATTTCTGGTACAGTTAGACTTCATGCTGAGCATCCTTTCCCTTCCCGACAGCAGATTCAAATCACTGCCATGTACAATGTATCTAATATGTAAATTGAATAGTGACCTGTCAAACAGTCTTCTGTAGGGTGATTTGTTGCACTTTTATATATTAGCCTATACGGGAACTTCTGTAAATCATCCTATCTCTGAAAACAAGAAATGTGAACAGCTTCTTAATAGTTTCACAGTGCTGCATCAATCTTACCGGACCCAAAATGGTAGAGAAACACAGATCTAGAGCCTTATCACCCAGTCTAATGAAAGAATTTGCTATCAAAAATAAACAAGTCAATAACATCAGGTTGCCATGTGTAATACGGAGATGGAATAAGGTTTTTGTTTTTTTAAAATTCGTTAATCAAATCCAAGTAGTGAATCTCTTTGACAAATCGTAAATTACAGTTCTATGGCTCTTGTGAATTTCCATCTGAATAATTCAATTTGCTTCAGTATATCTGATCTGGTACATGTGTTTCAAAAAATATTTAATTAAAATCAGAATCAATGCTTCCATTGCTGTGACATGATATGACATAGCCAGCCAATCAGCTAGAAAAACTTTCCAGATGGCATCTGTGGTTATCTATTATTCAGCTCATTTCAGATAGACTTCTAACAGCACAATCAAGTTGATTATACACTTACTGGAATTAAATTTAAGTACCCAGATTTACAGAGATTTATTCACATTACTGCTCCATATGGATAACAGATCTATGGAAATGCAAATAAAGAATTAGAATTCAATTTAGACACATAATCAACTAGAGGAAGTAGATGTTGTGTCTCATCTGGTGCTAGCTATTACCTATAAACCCCTGTATGGCATAGGGCCTGCTTATTTGAAAGACCACTTATCTCCAACTGTTTCTGCCCATCTAGTGTGTTCCAGCAGATTGGGAACACTCCAAGTTCCCTCCATGAAACAGTGCTGTCTTGTGGGACTGAGGAAGTCTACCTTCTTTATTTCAGCCCCACTCTTTGGAACATCCCCTCAGCGTTAATGACAGCTTACCTCTTCTAAGGTAAGCTTTAAAAATAGCTCTTGTTCAGTGGTGGGATTCAATTTTTTTTTTACTATTGGTTCTTTAGGCGTGGCTTGGTGGGCATGGCTTAGTTGGCTTAGTTCATAAAAAGCCAAAATCTCCATTCCCTCTCCACTCCAGGGGAAGGTTAATGCAAAATTTCCTCCTGATCAGCTGGAATTCAGGATGCAGAGAATAGATGGGGACAGGACCAGTCAGGGGTGGTATTTACTGGTTCTCCAAACTACTCAAAATTTCCACTACCGGTTCTCCAGAACTGGTCAGAATCTGCTGAATACCACCTCTGGCTCTTATATTGTTTTATTGTTTTTGCTATCGTTATGTTATTTTACTTCTGACTGACTGCTTTTAACTTTTTAGTTTTTATATTTTTTTCATACATTTTTCTAGTTTTTTATGTTTTTCAGAGTCCACTGGAGTTGGGCAGTCAATACATTTAAATACTAAATAAAACTTCATTTCCCTTGCACTACAGACTGGAGCCTTTTTACAACGGAAAAAGTGCAGAGAAAGACAGGAAAGTAGAAACCCTGGAGATCATATTTTTGCTGTTTTTGTAGTAAAATTCTTTTCACGGAAACTGTTTCTGTCTGATACTTGAGTCCGCCTATTTCAGAATGGCTCCTTGATCTGCTCTGTAGCATGTCTAAGAGAACAGAGAGGGTCTTGAAGAAATGAAGCTGATGAAATCTGTTTCTATCAGTCTCACAACATGTCTCTATTGGATCGACATCTAATGGATGTTATCATTTAATCTCCTCCTAAGGAAATGTTAAGCACAGTTTGTTATTAAAAGGCAAATAAATTGAACCTTATGGTATCATTCTTGGAAATGTTTATATTGTCTTTTCTTCAAATGAACATAGAGATAAAAAAGAGAAATATTTGGTAATATTTTTGGCATTCCAACTACTTCTTTAGACTTGATGTTATTCCTCTTCAATGGAAAAAACTTAGTAGAGCCTACCAATCAGAATAAAGCTGGAAGGGACCATGGAGGTTTTTTGGTCCAGCGCCCTAGTCAAGCAGAAGTCCCTATATCATTTTAAACAAGTGAATGTCCAGTCTCTTCTTAAAAACCTCCAGTGATGAAGTGAACTCACTATGCCTGAAGACAACCTGTTCCACTGGTTAATTGTCCTCACTGTTAGGAAGTTTCTCCTTTATTCTTTCCTTGATTAGTTTCCATCCATTTTTTCTTCTCCTGTCTTTTGGTGCTTTGGAAAATAAATTGACCCCCTCCTCTTTCTGGCAGCCTCTCAAATACTGGAATACTGCTATCATGTCCCCTCTAGTTCTTCTTTTTTCTAATTAGCCAAACCCAAATCTTGCAACTGATCTTCATGTGTTTTAGTCTCCAAGCCTTTAATCATCTTAGTTGCTCTTCTTTTTACTTTTTCCAAAGTCTCAACATCTTTTTTGGGATGTTGGTGTAATTTAGCCTATGTCCATATCATCATAGGCTCTTGTATAATCTCTATTACTATTTGGAATTCTTTTAATTTAGTATACATTGATCATATTTTTTAAAATAGTAAACTCTATAAATTTATCTGCCCCCCTTAATATCAATCTAATCTAATCTAATCTAATCTGTTGCTCTTCATAAAAAGCCAAAATTATCACCTGTAGCCACTGAGATTGGTCACTGTGCCCTGATGTCCAGGCATTAACTTTGCCTTGTTTGTCTAGTCGAGCTTTCCTGGGTTCCCATGTGAACATATCCATGTTGAGTGTTCTGAAGATACTGGAAGCAGTGATCTGATAATCCTGTATATGTCCCGATTTCATCCCCAAAGGTTCAGAACAACCTAAAAAAAAAATGAAAAAAGATCCTTGAAAACAAATAGGTGAGTAACCTGTAAACTCTGCTATTGTGCACATGTTATTAAAAGTACATAGTTTTACTGAGGATTTTATCTTCAATGCAAGAAAACAAAATCAAATCTCATCAAAAACAACTGTTGAACATTTTGTTTTGTTTTAGAAACAAAATGATTCTTTTAACTACATTTTAATTAACTCAATAAACTTGTTTTTAATTCTTCATTAGCTTCATAGACCAACATAGATTAGTAGAAAACTATGATATAAATGCCAAACCATTTGTTTTTATTTCAATTTCAGTCCTGGCTGTATTTTATTTTCCCTTCTGTTCAGTTGTGTTCAATTCTTGGAAACTGCCTGGACAAGTCCCCACAGTAAGGTTTTTCAGGTTTGCCATTACCTCATTCCTATGGCTGAGAGAAAGGAACTGGCCCATGTTCCGCCTAATACCTAAGGCAGAATTAACACCCACAGTCTCCCAGTTTCTAACCTGATGCGTTAACCACTATATCAAACTGGTTCTCTCTGGAGGTATATTGAATCTTTCGTATTTTATTGCTTTAACTTTAATTTTGAGTTTGACTGTATTTCTTGTATTAAAACAAATACGATCACTTTAGAATTAGTTCTCTGAAATAAGATGATAAAATATGGGGGAGAAATAGGAATGATGTGCTCCAGTAACAGAATAACAGATAAATTGAAGAATTACAAAAATATGTTTTTAAAAAGGTTAAGTAAATGATGAAAACATATATTGGTTTTTGACATATTTATGCAGACATACATAAATTTATAACAAGACATCAGAATATTTAAAATAACACAAAGAAACATCTAAGAATACTGACCTGATAATTCACAGCCAAGAAGTTCCATTCGCAAAGTACAATGCCTTCTACAGACTTGAGGATACAATCGTATATACTGAGATTTTATTGGCGGGGTGAAAGAATTTGCATAAGGTGTATTATTATCCACATTTCCATGGAAAACCTGCAACAGCACATAATTGGTTTTAGTTACACACAAATGTTGATATTTATCTATTTATTTTCTTTATCTATATTATCTATTATTTGCAACTATATTAGATAAAAAATAAAAATGCAGTTTGCCCCATTTCAGAGCTTCCTCAAAGAGCCAGGTTTTTAGGGATTTCCTAAAGAACCATAGGATTATAACTCTACAATCTTCAGGCAGAATGCAAACCCAAAGGCCAGATGAGAGGACAGAGAAGAGGACATTGCCATGGTGAGATGTCAGACATGGTTTTGTTGATGGGACTTGGAACATGTCAATCTTGTCAAATCATATAGGATGGATAAAAGTAATTGGAGACAGGTGATCAAATAGATATTCTGTCCCTATGTCATCAAGGGAGAGACAGTTTGGTATAGTAATTAGAAACAGGAAGACTATGAGTCCTAGTCGTGCCTTAGGCATGAAGTCAGCTGGTTGACTTTGGACCACTCAATATCTCTCAGTCTGAACGATTCAATGGCAAGCCACTTAGAGGTATCACATATATTAGGGTTTTACAAATTCTTCAGAAAAAATACTTTGGAATGTTTAGCAATGTATGAAGCAGCTCTTTTTGAAGTGCTTTCTGTACAGTTTTGTTCACCTCCAACTCACTTAGCTTCTTTAGATGTTGCTCCCAGGTCTACATCCACATCTACATACATTTCTCTTTCAGACTACCTTTGGATATATGCAGGAACACAACAGAAGTCACATCTAAAGCTACTATGTATGCCAGAAGAATTTGTAGTTGCTTCATGTGGTTCTTTTCTCTTCCACATTTGTTAAAATATCGCTTTTAAAGAATTTGCCAGGTTCTACTAGGTGTTTGATTTAGAATGCAGATCTGTGACCAAGACTTTCCACTATTATTCTTGTATCCAACTATTTTTACTAATTGCTACCAATGAAATTATATTAAATAAAAGTACCGTTACTTAATTTGACAATGTTTAGTAATAAACTATATGACAAAAATGGTTAGCAACCAAAAGACATATACTAGTATGCTTTCAACACTGTCTTTTCCTTGTCTCTGACCAAAGAGCTCTCTACATTATTCTCATACTAGTTTACCAGACCATGTCTCTCAATAGTATTTGTTAGGTGTAGGAGCAGGCAATATCAACCACTAATATCTAATCTCTTTGCCATACTAGAAATATATATGAAGTTTTTGGGAAAAGACAGACCACTATTTCTTACTGTAACTATACTTTTTCTCCATGCTTGTATATGTGTGTATGTCGAGCCTTGCTTTCCCTAGCTTGATACACTTACTTACATTATGTTTTACTAAATAAAACACTATTTAGATGCAAAGTGGAAGCTTTATTATCTTCTGCACAATCACTGGACAAGCAGTTTTGGGCCCACATTCCATAGCAACAGCCATGTGGTAGGACAGCCGGTAGGTGTCAGTATTCTATAAAAATATATGTGGGGCAATACAGGGAATGGCTGGAATATCTATTTTTTTACTTCCTGTATCCTACCCTACTTGTGTGCTTCTATGCATGTTTCAAGTCTTGGCTATCCACCAAGGTTGTTGTGCCTGTCTAAATTCCTTTTACCAAGACAAATGAACTTAAAGTCTACCTGTTTGGATTGTTTAATTAATTGCTGCCTTATAGAATCTGTTCATGGCAATAGCTTTAAAACAATTATATCGTTTGACTCTGTGTATAGTTGCAATTTCAACCTTCAAATAACCTTATGTTTAATAATATTTTTTAATATACTGTTCTCTGTTCTTGCTTCAGGACAGGAATAGATGACACTGTATTCCTCTTTTGCTCTTAAGAGTGAAATACAATTGAGCATACTTCATATAGGTCAAGTTACATTTTAAATGCATTCTTACTTTTACAATCAGTTTATTCAGTTTTTAAAAATATTCTTTATTTTCAAGGATAAACCATTTGTCAACACAATTAAGACAGAATTGCTACAGCACTATGAATTTATAAGGGGAATATCCATGATACCTATTAGTTCCTTTAGAAATATTTGAGCCATTTGAACATTGCTAAGTTTTACACAAGTGTTTGGCAAGCACTAGGAGCAGGTACATACATAGGAACAGTTTATGTAATGTACATATGTACTTCAAGAAGAAATCAGGCAACCAGAACTAATTAGAGCTGTGATTTAAAATTTAGCAGGTACAAAATAGCAACTTGAATTTATTTTAAAACATCATGTTTTTATAATTAATTTGCATCCAATCACTTTTAACTCTTCTATTTCCTTATTACTTGATTATAAATAAGCCCTGTTTTCTGCGTATTGCCCATCAAATGTGGCTGAACATGTTTGTCGGTGCTTGACCTGATCCTGCAAGCTGAGGGACGTATATATTTTTTAAAAAGTAATTATTAATTATTACTATTAATCAATTAATATCCTGCCTTCTCATCTTGAAATCTTGTAAGTCACACATGAGATGAAACAAAAATATTACAGATTTTTCTCCAACAGCCCCCACCCTATGGGCATTGCTTCTTATCCTGCCCTCAGGTGCTTTGGAGAATAGCTTGACTCCCTCTTCTTTGTGGCAACCCCTGAGATATTGGAACACTGCTATCATGTCACCCCTGTTCCTTCTCTTCCTCAAACTAGACATACCCAGTTCTTGCAACTGTTCCTCATATGTTTTAGCCTCCAGTCCCCTAATTATTTTTGTTGCTCTTCTCTGCATTCTTTCTAGAGTCTCCTCATCTTTTTTACATGGCGAAGATGTATAGGCTTGTGTTTGAGTGTGATTTTGTTATTTTTGTTTCTTTCGGTATGCACTGACTAGATCCCATTGGTTGTTATTTGTACTGGATAATTATGGTAATACGTTGTGAGCTTCCCACAGAGTCAGGTAATATTAAAATTGAACAACAATTCAATTATATTACCCTGTTTTCCTGAAAATAAGACCTCCTTGAATAATAAGCCCAATCGGCGCTTTTGAACACATGCACAAAAATAAGCCATGCCCTGAAAATAAGCCATCCCCCAAAATATTGCAATACAGCAGCAGCTATGAGGTGACCACGCTCGCCACCTCCTGCACCTCAAAAATAATAAGATCTCCCTGAATATAAGGCCAAGTGCTTATTTCAGGGGTCAAAAGAAAATGAGACCATGTCTTATTTTCGGGGAAACACGATATATAATATTACTTTTATATTCATTAAATTGACTTACCATATCTTCAGTAGTGCCTTTCACTTTGTATGTGCTCCATAATTTACCGTCATTGCTATATGCAATTTTGTATGATTTAATGTATTCTGGGCTTCCAATTCTCTTGGCACCTTGTGTGATAACTCCAGTGATTCTCATTTTTCGCTGTAGGTTTATCTGAAATTATAATCAGGCATCACCAATGAAATAATCAGCATTGTATTTCATTTAGCTGTTGCTATTGTTCATATAAATAAAATGTATGGCTTGTCTAACACCAAATTTTCCTATGTCCAAGGCTTCATTTAAACTGAAGTTCAACCAACCCATTTGTGACACTCAGTTAATTTACGAGAATGTTACATGCTAAAGAACAATCATTTCTTCTAGCATGTTTTCCATTCTCCTGTGCATATTCCTATGGACACAAGGATAATACAGAACAAAGTCAAGTTCACAGCTTGGAGAATATACCTAACATTCCTTGAGGTCTGATTTGTGTGATAATTTCCACTGCCATATTAGAATCCATTCTAACTACAGTCTAAGAAACAATTAAACACTTTTAAAAAAACACCCTATAATTAACTGTTAAGATACAAAGAGTTAAATCTTTCTTTCTAAGTAATAAATGCACGTTTTAGTCCTGCAAGTTTGTGCATTAACCTATCTATCTTTTTGATTAGCAGAACAACTGTTCTGTGAAATGTTCCAGTATGAAAACTTCATCTGACAATGTTTACATATTTTTTTAATAAATCCAATGACTTTTCAATCACTAATAAGAGAACTTTGAAATCAGTGAAAATGTCTCTATTGAAGGAATCTTGTTTAAGTAAAAAAACAACCACCTTTAATATATATTAATATTCTTTCCAGGTTTTTTCCCCCAAAATGATACAGTATAAGTATGGTTGATCATGTACAGATATTCAGTAGACCAATAATTCTGCTTGGGATTGTATTTTGGAACAACTAGTCAGTGGAAGTAAAATAATTACTAGCTTTGTAGAATAAAAAGATGAATATGCATACACACTGGTTAATTAAAAATACTATTATAAATGATGTTATATTTGTCTGGTGAAGTGAAAAGAACATTCGTAATGTATATTTCATATTGACCAATATTTATGGTATGTTTGATTTATGATTCCCAAGAAAAGAATATATTAGTTTGTTAGTTAAACAAAGCATTTTAAAATATAAGTTGAAATTTATTTACTGCCAGGATTAAATTAGCTAACCTTTACACCTGTCTTAATGAAAAAGACAATTCTGCTCATATATTTTTAATGAGGATTTAATAAGGATTTCAAATAGGATTTATATTTCAATTGTAATTGTTTTAATCTTCTCTGCCTACATGTGATTTACATAAAGTTAATAGAAAATGTAGGCAACTGACATACCCTAATCAATAAAGAATAATTTCTGACTAGATTTAGCATTAATTTACTGCAATATATAAGGGAATGACATTACTGTACAAATCATATGGGGGTGGAACTTGGAAGAGCTGCTTAATGAATCCACGACTTCATTTCTCAAAAATGTCAAAATGTTCTTCATATAAAATAAGCATTTGAATGTGGAAAATAATTCTGCTTTAATAATTTTTGAATATCATAACAGGAAATCAAAGAAAATAGAGATAGGAAAAAGTGGGAATAGCAAAAGATCGCTTTGGTCTGTTTATTTATTTTAATAAAGTGTAACATACAGAATACTTTTGCATCTCTCTGAATACATGAAAGGATTAAGTCTTACAGTATTAAAGAAATTGTGATTTGGCTAAGACTTTATGTAGCTTACAGTTGTTTATGGAATAAAGGCTAGATAGGCATTAAGCAAACATATTTCAGTTCATTCAGTGGAAGTTTTCTTTCCTCTTTTTTTCTTGGCAACCTTGATGATAAAACTATGCAAGACTGTAGACTAGAATTTCATTTCCCTGACAAATGTCCATATACAGTATATAAAAAAGCTGATGGATAAAATGCCATTGTTCAGTTAGTTCTATTGATTAAAAAATGATAGGGGGAACCCAGAAATATTTACATCTCTGGCCTTATTGAAATAAATGGGGTTTGCATCAGAGTCCAATTCCAAGTGAACTAATTCGCTGCTGTCTGCATTAACTATGCATTTGATTTATTATTTATTTATTTATTAACATCTTTATAATTGTATAATTTCTTTATAATTTAGTTAAATTTCTCCTTTAAATTTAGAATAAAGTACTCAAGGGTGAGTACTTTAACTCAGGGGTGAGTCTATTCACTGTGAGTGTGTGAGTCTATTCACTGTGGGTGAATAAGGGTGAGTCTATTCACTGTTAAGATATTCCCACTAAAGTAGGTATATAATATATAATATTCCAATATATATATATATATAAATTATGTTGCATTATATTTCAATTTCTAACCTAAATAACTAGAAATTACAATCACCTGGGTGTAAATTATTGAAAATAATTAAATAGATAGATGTATAACTTGAAAGTAAAGCTATGGGTATAAGGCCAAAAATTCAGGTGAGAACTTGATTGACTATAACCATCCTATTTGGCACATGATACATGGAAGTGTGCACCATCAAAATAACAACAACAAACCACTTAAAGCGAAATATGAAAACACCCCCCCCCCAAAATCCCCAACAAAAATTGGGTTCAGTCACCGAAGTGCCAGGAAAAAAAATCCTTATCCAGCAGGTCATACCAATCCCAGACCAAATTTCTGGGAGGGAAAATAAGGTGCTTAATGCCTTCCACAAGGGAGGCAGTGTCAGAGAAAGGCACAATTCTTTGTATTTGGCAGGCCTTCTGGGATTCTTTCTCAATTTTTACCTTTGATCTTCACTTAAACCTTGTTTACAAAAATGAAGATTTCTTTGGAAGCAACACTCAGGATATAAACTCCAAGAAAAGAAGAAGCAGAAGCTCTGATATGTGCATATTGGCACCTATCTTATATCACAAGTTAGGACTTGAATCATTTTCAGGTCAAAAGACACTGCTGCCATTAGAAATCTCCTACCAGCCAAGGAAAGGCAAGAAATCATTTGAAAAGCAATTATTTCCCCATATTTATAAGAAAGCCAAATCAGTACCACAAGGTTTTAATGTAATAAATTTGTGAAAGTGTTATTAATCCATTGAATGCAGAATACATGTTATTGTTTTAATAATTCAATTGATTTTTAAAAATGCAAAAAGTTATCTCTTTTTATTTAAATAATTAAATTCCTACTTGCATTATTAGAATTGTTGAAGCAATGAAGTCAAAGCAAGCATTTTCAGTAATTTATATTTTCCGGGGTTTGCTAAACAAAGGTTGATATATACAATTTGTAACAAAAATTGATCTCCCATTTTAAACATTGCCCAATGTAACTCAACATTTGAATTTCAATCCTTAGCTTTTTGAAGCAGGAAAGAATCATCCAATCTGCTTTGAGAGATGGCTCTGATGTTCTAGAACAGGGGTGTCAAACTCACATCATCACATGATGTATCCCTTTGCTAAACTGGCCAGCACAGGACACATCCAGACCAAAAGCCATGAATTTGATACCTCTGTTCTAGAAGAAACATGTGTTGGTTCTTGGATCCAATTTGTGCAATAAAGAAAACAGAGCAACATTTTCTCTGATGACTATCTTTTCTAGTGATAATGACCTAATATTTCCCAAACCAGATTGTGTATCTATGCTTTGTTTATCATCATAGATTTTATGTACTGCCTATGTGTCTTTGTACACATAAATTAGATATAGTGTTTCTCAAACTTCCACTAAATTTCAGTGATTGCAGTTTTATTGAGAAACATCCTCCTCTCCCCTTGCTATTTCTTGTGATCCTTTCAAGGTGCTATGATGGGCAGATTATGGCAGTCTAATCACAAACATCACAAACGAAGACTGAAAATGTATTGAGGATTTTGAATAATGACATGTATTTAAATCATCTGCTCTATTTCCTATAGATGACAAAATCCCACAATAAACCAATCTAACTTTAACTTTAGACTTTGTCTGTTTTCAGACCATAGTCCCATTACATTTCTTTGTATTTTATAAAACAATGTTTTCTCATTTCAAAAGCTTAACAAATAAAGAAACTAGTTGCAGGAAAATAATGATCATTGTTACATATTAACTGCTTCTTTCAGATCAATGAAAGAGATGAAGATAAAAATTTAGCATAAAAATGTAAATGTGTTTCTAGTGAAATATAATTATCAGCGATATTTGTGGGGAAGAGAAAAACATTCAAGATGGAGACTTTAACTGGGTAACCAAAGCTTTGACCTTTCTATGTGAATTTTAGCCCATTCCTAACTGTGGATGTCCTGGCAATCACTACATGTTACTATCAAATGCTTCTTTCTATCCATGCGAAATAGATTGGAAGACAAAAGAAAAGAATTTATCATCTTTAATTTTAAATGGGGCATGGGACGAGAGGAAAAAGCAATGAGATTGGTTAGTAGGGAGGGAAGCTAACCTTAAATTGGCTATTTCTGGCAGGCAAATCAACAATAACTGTAAGCCCTCCAGAGTCATTTCAAAATCAGTCAGGGGAAAATAAATGTTATAAATTAATAAATAATATAAAAATAGATAAGCAGGAATTTTTAAGCTAGAACTGCAGCAAAATGATAAAATAAGGCAAATGCCTTTTAATTTACATTATATAAATCTCAGTAAACTGCAGATATTCTGTAGAAGGGACAAATGATGAAATGTGCCTCATAGGATTAATCCTTTGACTGTATAATGCATGTTACTGTTTTAATAGTTCATCTGAGTTTTTAAAAGGCTCTCTCCTTTTATTTAATTAATTCAATTCTTACTGGTATTATTAGAACTGTTGAAGCAATGGAATCAAAGCAATCATTGCCAGTAATTTACATTTTTCCAGGTTCTCTTCAAACATTGACCTTGAGCTAGTCCTTTTATCTCAGTCCTAGGAAAGGGGCAATGGCAAATCACTTCTGAAAAATTATGCCAAGAAACCTGCAGACTTGTCTCTGAGAATTGGATATGAGAGAACATGAAAAACTGTCTGTCTGTCTGTCTGTCTGTCTGTCTGTCTGTCTGTCTGTCTGCCTCCCTGCCTAAGTTCCTATTTACTCTAGCTCCTTACATCATAACCTGGCAATAATATA